TTGCAAATAACTTGAGGGTCATACTTAAATATAAATGAATATACAATAATACTTGTATAAATTAAAATTATGTATTTTTCCCTAAGGACTAAAGTGTGGAAACTGATAAGAAAATTATTAATAATGTGTGCACAAATTGCGTATTGCCAGAAAAAAGAGATCAGAATTTGTAGAGCCATCCAACCAGCTGCCTAAACAGTTTAAATTCAAAACAAAGGCCAGTTGGGGATGACGCAAAAGACAGAGATATAAGCTAAGAACTGAAATATTGACTTAAGATTTTAACAGTAATTCTTTCAAATTTGTGAAAGATAGAGTACAGTACCAGAATTCTAAACAGTCAAGCCTCTAAATGAAGTTTTAAAATATGAAAAAGATTTTCAAATAGTTACTTAAGAAACTTAAATATTTTAACTTTTGATCAACATTATATGAGCAACTATTTCTAATATACAAAAATGATCCTTAAGGTATTGGAACTATAAATAGTAAATAATTAATGAACCCATATCTTATATTAATAAAAATAATTACTTAATGAAATCGCATGAAACAAAAACTAATAACTTATTTGAATTGATTATTTTCATCTTTAATAATTAGTATTGGAATTTTAATCACTTTTGTAGTATGAATTTAATTTCAATGATTAACAAATTATCTCCATATCAATAGCTATTGATCTAGTATGTATACGTAAAGTACAACGTATTTGAGATGCAATTAGTATTAGAGATACCAAAACTTCAGTTTTCAAAACTGACTACATTTTGTATTTACGATAAAGAACAATTTGTTTTTTCAATGTTGATGAACGTCTGTTTTGTTTTTATCTTTGGAGTATTTTTGAATTTCTTGACTGTGTCGTGAGTGGGTGAGTGGGTGAGTGCGGCAGAGCGGGAGCGATGAGAGAGAGAGAGAGAGCTTTTACTGCAGCATCGTTGTTGATAATGCACTCTATACTTTATACATGCATGTACACATGTACATGTATGTATGTGTGTATTTGTGCAATGTATCGGACCAACAACCACGTGCAGCGACCGGCTACGGCGGCGGCGGCGGCCAACACACGCCAACAAAATTGCGCAACCTGTGGATTGTAAAAACCGGCATGACGTGTTGTGTGAGGCGTGAAGCGTGAGCTTTCATTCATTCGCTTTATTTTGATATACACACGTAAATACATACTACAGTCATACATACAGAGGTATTTGTAAATATCTGTATGTATTATTACTTATTGTCGTTGTCGTTGTGTTGCCATTTTCGCCTTCATACTCACATGTTTTGTTGTATTCACGGTATTGGCATTATGAATTAATCTTGGCTGTGCCTCTTATGTCGACGGGCAATACCAATAACTAAATTTATACATACATACATACATACATACATATGATAGTTGCTAGTTAACGATTTCAAATTTTGCGCGCTTAGCAACAAACGTTGGCCGACTAAAATACATACATACATACATATGTATGTATGTATATATGTACATACAACCAGGGACAAAAAAATTCGCTGTGTTTGGTTTAGTATTTACATATGTTCACACACACAGACACACACACATCCGTACATACATACATACTTGCATCTGTACATGTCTAGCAAACGGGTTTGGCAGGTTTGTTTGTTTGTGCGATGCTGATGCCGACGTCGACGTCGCAGATATCGCAATGTCCAACATTCACACACACATACGCACATACACATGCGCATGCTTGTCTCGCCGGCTTTTTCTACACAGTTACAAAAACAAAGCTGTTGAGGCGTGCAGCTTTATTTTGGCCATGTGTGTGTGTGTTTGATTATCATTGAGTATTTAACTATTTGAAATATTTGGAGTAGAGACGGGCACTGCACGAATCCGTGATTTGCGTGATCGGGAATAACGCGACCTGACACTCGCTATTGTTTTAAACCTGAAAGGATGCTCTGTACCTGTAAGGTGCAGGGCGTAGATTTGTGTAAAATGGAAAATCTAACAGGTAGAAGCAGGCATGACAGACCCACAAAGTATACATATTTATGTGCGTCTATTCTTAATAAAAATGACAAGAATTAGTCGATTTGCCTTACGACTTAGATCTCACAGCTATAGACACCAAAATTTGCACACATATGCCCTCTATGTGTACACTGTACAAGTTTCTTTCCTAATTAAATTATTACTATTAAAATTCCATTTGCATTAATATTTTTCCTCAAGAAATTTGAAATTGCATTTTTGCTTTCGCCACTAGGCTTCTACCTCGTTGAGAGGTTTTTGCAGTCAGACATCATTAACATACACACACACATGTATTTATACATAGAGATGAATGTACATACATGTATGTATGTTGTATACGTACGGATATACATATGTATATACATACATGTATGTTGTTTTTGGGCAGTCAAGTCACGCGTCAAATGCAAGAATTTTAAATTGATAAAAAAGTGCAACGATCGTGAGTTCAACGCACCGCGCGCTATAAATTAGTACCGGAAGTTGCACAAATGTGTGTTTGTAGATACATATACATATACTGTATATATGTACATATGTGCATGATATGCCAAATTTGAATGTGTTTTTATTTGTCGCGAAACATAACCAACCATTCACCACCGTACACTTAAAAGATAATCATGACCGGCTAAGGAATGTGAAGGCCCCACTTTTATAATCAATTTGATTTGATTTGGCAATAAGGCAGAGATATCATTTTCACATAACTTGGTGGTAGTAGCAAGGATTTTTAGAAAGCAAAATTTCAAAGCTTCAACACATACCTACATACATATGTACATATACATACGTACATATGTATGTATGTATTTAATTTAGCAGTGGGAAGGGAAGGGCTTAACAGCGAACATAAGTGTGCTAAGCATGTGCGCGTTGTATGTGTGTGTGTGTGTGCGAGATAACTTTGCAGCTGTTTATCACAAAACTAAAAACTAATGAGAGCCTGAACTGTTACTTTCACTATTGTAAGTCTATCTCACTTGCACACACACTTGCTGGCAGCAGAGTTGGTCCACCAACTCGGAAACAGAGCGCCACGACGCCATAACGACGGTCGCTGTCGCAAAAAATTCTGTCACGCATTCTTTTTGTGGCGTAGAGTAGTTTTTTTGTATTCACATATATTTTTGCTGTTGCCATGCCAGAGTTTTTCTTACGAATACAGATATATTTTTGCGTGTGTGTGTTGGGCGTCGCAACGTAGCGAAATCTTTGATGACGCCGGTTGTTGCCATTTAACGGCCATGACGTCATTTGCAAACTAGTAGAGAGAGAGAGAGAGAGCAGCAGAGAGACAGAGCGAGAGTGTGGGAGAGAGAGGGACACAGGGACAGGGGGAGAGAAAAAGGCGCGACGCGTTTTCTCTGTTGTTTGCTTGCAGTACAGTTATCTTTCGTTAGAATGAACATTAAAGACAATTGCTTAAAATTACTTGTATGTATATGGAAATAAAATATATTTTTAAATGAAATGATATTAAAATACAAGTTATGTTTCAACAATTACTTTACAACAGTTATCTATCTGATATTTAAAAAAAAATGCTCCTATTAAATCATGCGCGTTTGTTCATTTTCCAAAGCGAGCGTTCACTGTGTATATATTTACGGATAGGTAGGTCTTTATTTATGGTGGCGTGTATTTGGAATTGGTTTTCCTTTTGCCCTTTGTTAGTCACAATCTGTGCAAATCTATAGCTTCCTGAATTTTGATATGTCCGAGAGCATAAATAGAGCGCGTCGTGGCGTGAAGGAGAGAGAGGGGGGGGGGGGGGGGCCTTAAAGACGTTGGCGGTGCATAGGCGTTGTCGGTGCGTTGTTGTTGGCGTTGTTGCTGTCATCGGCTTCGGCGTTGGCGTGGTTGACACAGTAATCCTCTTTAGTCGCGGTGGCGCCAGAAAACCGTATGCCAGCCATCGATGACATAATACAGACATATAATGTAACAATATGCTGCCACTAAGAATTGCATGCGCACACACACACATACATATATGCATACATCTATATATACCGTGTAGTGCGGCGCGTACATTGAACTGTCGTTGACATTTGTGAGGCCAAAGTCAGGCAGGCAGGCACACACACACACACTCACAAGGAACGAGGAACAGAGATATAACAGTTCCCACTCCTCCCCCCTCTGCTGAGTGTTTTTTTTATGTTTTTTGGTACCAGGCGGTGCACGTTTTGCTCTTTTTATGCCCTACACCCAACATGAAAAGTCACAGCAGGGCATTATAGAAACATCAACAGCGGCGGATTTCTAAATAGAATCAACGTGTGTCCTTCTATTCGTATGTCTGAAAGAAGTAACTCTCAAGTTATACGACCTAAATTAGCCTCTAGGAATTTAATTTTTAAGACTTGATATAAAGAAATACTCCAGGAGGAGCGAATGAATATATTTAATAGTCAGCAGGCTTGGCAGTATCCAAGTTATATGCATATAAATGTGACATGTTCATCTATTGAAAAAATCAATATTTGACTAGAAAAAAGGGTTATTCTACCTTTCAGATTGTCCTATATAGTAGTCTGAAAAAAGTGATACGTCTACTAAAAGTAGTTCTGTTTGTTCGACTGCATGAACATCGTTAACGTTCAAACCATAACAGATAGGCCCCCCAAACTTGGCATGTAAGACTGTTTTGTCCAAATGTATTTTGTCATCAATCTATTTTGAATTACAATTGGATAGAATTAAAGTATGGTATTTGTAGGGTTTGTCTCAAAGTTTGAAATTGGGCAAATGCTATAGTTCTTATGTAAGTAATTGAACGAATACCAGGAATGCAGCTCTACACCCTATAAATGAACAGGAGGTGCAATAGAGGAAGAGAGAGAGAGGGCGGGGTATTCTACAGTCGCTACCTCGCCTACCACTCGAAGCATTGCTTTCAAGCATACAATATGTTTTTGTGTTTCCTTCTTGATATACCAAAAGTTGCTAATTTGTGCTCTCTGTTTGTTTGCAGACGAGGAAATCGATGTTGTCTCGCTGAATGACAAGAAACTGCCGACAAATCCCTCGGAAAAGGATCGGCGGGCACTGCAATTCCAAGTGGCAGACAAGTTTTCGAATCGCATTGTGAAAACAGAGATGGGGGTGCGAACCTTACCGCCCCTTGCGATGGAATTTCGTCGAGTCTCCTTCGATCTGCCATATACGCCGGCGAGCAGCAGTCCAGTAAAATCGGTGGCCAATTCCCGCTACCCCTCGCCCTCGAGCACTCCCTACCAGCACGAGCCCTCGTACTCGCCCCCCTCCTCGCAGAGCAGCAACGACAGCGGCATAGGCATTCCGATCGCCCGGTTGGGTCTGAAGGCCGACAGCTCGCAGGTGAGACACCCTCGCAAGCGCTACTTTATGACATCGGGATCGTGTAGCTTGTCGAAGTATCGTTGCAAGCGGGGCAAGTCCTTGTTGGCTGCTGTCAACTCGACCATGTTGCCCGACGAGAGCGTGGCCTCGACTGGTGGCAGCAATGCGGCCGCTTCGGGCGCCAAAAACGCCCTCAAGCGTCAGTTCAGCCACAATGTGGACGAGGCGGACACCATCGAGAAGCGGAATCTGCACAACGACATGGAACGGCAGCGTCGGATCGGCCTTAAGAATCTCTTCGAGGCACTCAAGAAGCAAATACCCAGCATTAAGGACAAAGAGCGCGCCCCCAAGGTCAACATATTGCGCGAGGCGGCCAAGCTCTGCGAACAGCTGACCCGGGAGGAGCACGAACTCAGCCTGCAGCGCCAGTTCCTGCAGGAGAAGCTGAAGCGGCGACAGGATATGTGCGCCCGTCTCCGTCTCGGCAAGGCAGATTCATAACGGCGGTGAATGATTCTTAAGTATATTTTATAATGACATATAATGTGGGTGTGAAGGGAGTTGATGGTAAGGGAAGAGAAGAGGAGGGGAATAGCGCGCAGCGTTTGTACATTGAATATATATATATATATACAGATATTCAGATATACAGATATATATAAAGTTATAGATATAGAGACATATAGTTGTAAGCATTTTGAACTTCAATATCAGTTTAAGTATTACATACATAAAGGAGATGGGAAAACAATTGAGAGAGAGGGAGAGAGAGGGGTGAGGGGGAAAATCGATATTATTATTAATGTTTCAGACTTTTCGATACAGGATATATATATATATATATATATATATATTGAAGAAACATGGTGATTTACATTTGATTTCTAATGTGATATATTTTTTGTTTATGCTTTTTATTTATCCTTTCTCGTCCGCCGCCCTTTCTCTATCTCTCTGTGTCGCCCTCTGACTCTGATTTGCGAAGGATATGGAGAAAGCAGCAAGAAATTTGCCTTCTCTGTTCGCACATACTACATATAAACATATGTAAATAAATAGCATCGATAGATCGTATATATATAGCCTAAATAGTTAGCTTAGAAATGAAGAAGATACCAAACGAAGGAAAAAGAGAACAAAAACGTAAAAAAACATTTAAAAAGAAAAATGCAAATTACGGAAAGCAGACGAAGTTTCAACGAATGAGCCACAAAGAGCAGATGCAAACAAACAGACAAAGAAACAACAAACTTAAATGTATGAAGAACAAGTGCGTAGACGTGAAGAACAATGTGGGAGAAGAGACGAAGCACGAAGGAGGAGAAGAAAGTTGGAATCAGGAGAGAAATAAAGTGAATTTGAGTTGAATAAGGAATACAAGTATTTACATACGAGTATAGAAAGGATGGGATGTGTGGATAGGTGTAGAAGAAGAAAAGGATTATTGAAGTCATATAGGTATTATGGAACGACAGAACCTGAAATGTTCAGTAAATGGAATACTTTAAAACCAGGAATGGAAATGGAAAAGCAACGCAAGCAAGCAAGAGAAGTGTGTATTTTCTTTCTTTTTTTTTCAATTTTTTTTTGTATATATATATAGAACCCATACACGTATATACGTAGGATATAGATTTGAAGGAAATATGATGATAGTTGTAGTTAGCTAGTTTTTTTTTGCACAGCAAAGCAAACCTTGTCAGCTGTTTAACTGTCGATTTTTGCCAATAAGCTCTTTCAATGTTTCAGATAAATATTAAGATAGCTAGATAGTTAGGGATTATGAATTACTATATGCTATGGAATTAGGCGTAGTAAGACGATGTCTTTGTTTCTCCCACTCTCCGGTATAACTAGTTAGTTGGTAAGACGGGCAAAAGGATATATGAAGGAATCCACAAACATATATAGAGTTGTAAATAGTTAGGAGTTACTGTTACTTAGATATATAGAGAGTATGACAAACGAAAACAGAACGAAACAGCAAATGTTATAACCATTATAAAATATATATGTAGCAATGACAACGTTCTTTTTTCTATTCAAATTTTTTCTATTGACTAGCTGCTGGTGGTCAGTCGAACAGACATATATACTAGATATATATATATACGATATAGCTTGACTGGTTGGTTGATTAGTTGGTCGGATTGGATTGTTGTTTGTTTGTACAAACGTTGGCGTGCTGTTCCAACACTTTCTTTTTTTTTATAATGTAACTATATCTATATATATATATATATATAACCTACGATTGTGTAAATAACGCATTTATATAAAATATAAAAGCAGCAACTGTAATGGAAAAGAAATGAAAAATGTTGCCCGCAAGTTGGAAAAGGAATTCTAATTCTAAACTATAACTATATAGTGTAACTAAAACTATTAAACAAGCACTTATCTATTGACTTAAACAGATATGTTATGTTTTTAAAAACGTTTAAGCCACAAACTATAACTGTAAATAGCAATCTCGTTGAATATTATATAATATTTACAACAAAGAAGAAAAAGAAGAAAAAAAAAACCACACAAAAAACAACATTATTATTATAATAATAGCGAACTAAAGAGTAATAGCAATTGCTTCGGTCGGTTGGATTTGTTTTGCAGGTGGGTTTATATGCTTAGAGTTTTATACCCGATCTAGCTCTAGCCTAACTATAATGGAAGTAAAACTATCTAGATTTCAAAAATAATTCAAACAGAGTCACACTTTTTCGCATGCTACACAGCTTTATCCGCTCTATAGCTTCCTAGTTTCTAGTTTGTGTTTCTTTTTTTTTTTGACCCCTAGATCTTAGCTCTTCTTGTATATTATTTAGTTGATTCGATCTGAATGTTCAATGTTCAGACCACACACTATTTTTCAGCCTAGAATTTAAACAAACACATTAGTTATAAACCATTTCAACCGTACAAATTTATCGCTAAAACAAATTCGCAACGAAAGAAACGACGAGAAAACATTTGCAGAAATATATATATATATACATTATATATGTATATATATATATACCATTTGTTAGCTTTTAAACAACAACAAAACTTTATGCATTTTATTCTCTAAGTTTATATTATTAACATAAACAAACGCTTTGTTTCTAAAAACAAAACAACTATAAACAACAACAACAAAAATCGTTAAAACAATGGAAAAAAAATACAAATTTACAAACCGCAACCAAAACCTCTAAATCCTCGCATATGAAATCTTAAAACTAATCAAAAAACAAAAAAAAAAAAACAAAACAAAAACGAAACAAAAAAGTTAATGAACTGCAAAATCATATTTTTATGTTTTATTTTAATTTTTATACATATTTACAATTATATTATATATAAATATATATACACACATTATATATACATATATATATATATATATATATCTATATATACAACTAAGTATCTAACTAGAGTTGCTAAACAAATTTTTAAAAACAAAACAACAAAAAACTATTATTATTATTATTTCAAAAATATTGTAATAGCAACAAAAAAAAGAGAAAAGAAAAAGAAAACAAGAAAAAAGAGCAGTACTTGCAAAAGAAGAAGAAGAAGACAAAATTATTTTTTTGTTACATAAAACACTGGGAGGTAACGCTTCCAAGTAGTTGTTTGAAACAATAAGTAATAATTGGTTTGTTTCGTCAGTTATTATTAAAAATTATTATTAATATATTGTTTCGGTAACCCCTTTAGTGATACTTAAAACTGTTTTCATTTATTATTACACACACATATATAAATATATAAATATATTTTTTTTATTTGCATACTAGAAACGAATCGCGAAAAAAATTAACCAACAATTATTATTATACATATGTGCTATGCTCTATTAAACGTATACACACAGAGACACACCTACACACACACACACACACATACATACTTGGAAACTGTTAAAACTCGTTATGGAATGGATTGACCGATGCATACTATATGTTCAGTATATCCATCTATCTACCCAATGAATATGTATATTACGAGCTCAACTTATATAGCACATACACGTACATATACAGCCTATGTAGAAACATTATTAATATTATACTATTATTATTACCTTTTTTTTTGTGTCGAACTTATGCTTATATGGTGTTTTACAATAAAAATTTTTAAAATACCACGAAAACCAATTGAGTTTTATTCTTAAACCACACCACACACTCGGAATAAAAAATAAACCGCAAAATTGCCTAATGAGACGGCTTTAGAAGCTTCTTCGGTTGTCGAACACTACGGCGCCTATATAGAGCGCTAGATTGTACACTCTGTTTATTTTCTCATATCGTCGTACTTACCTATTTACTTGTACTAATGGAGGCCCCCCTTACCATAATGGTAAGCTAGTAAGTAGTTCCCTGAGCTTTAGATTGCATTAACCGCTCGATAGATTTATTGGAATATAGTATTTCCTACTTGGTATTCAACCAACAATAATTAGTTGCTTAACTGCTTAAGGATGAAGTGGAAAGATGAATGGAACCCCCGATATTATGGATGGCTCAGTATCCCGACAAGTACTCAGGGTATAAAGGAATCGATGATCATTTGATGAAAGATGAAACACAAACGACTAAAAAAAAACCCAAAATCCACTTATATAGGATTTTAGATTGCGTACCCAGTGTTTTCTACTAAAACTCCATTGAAAATAGATTATAAATCTCCTGGGAAGGGCGTCCTTCACATGTTATATTTCTTATTTGGAACCTTTTGCGTTGAACTGCCTGCTGGAGTTTATTTCTGGACATACTTGTATTGTCGTCATACAACAAAAGCGCCGACAAGGGTGCAAATTTGGATGCATACAAGTATGTATGTATATACGGGTATATTCAATTCATTAGTTTCTCGAACCAAATTTAGGCGCAATGAAATGGTCAGAATGGGGATTGACATTTCAGAAGCATCCCCCACATGTGTATATTTTTAAATTCCACATTCATGCACACATACAGAACACAGAAGAGCAAAGATATATCTTCCACATACCATACTCGTATAGTATATGGCTGATGATCAGAGCTTCAATTTGTAAGGCATGATTCATGCCCGGGAATGAATCACATTGGCTTTGCAGTCAGCCGGCCGGCCAGCCAGAGTGCTTAACGATAATTGGTTGTCGCCGGTTCTAATCAAGTACAGAGTACATTCGTAAGTACGTACTATATACATACATACTTGTTTATACCTACACAGCTATATATTCTTTATAAGTTTTTAGGGAATTACATTTACGTGCTTCGCACGAAAACCAACCATAGGTGCAAAACCGTTCAGCAACCCCGATATTAATCAGCTCTTTCAATTACCGCCTCGCGCTACTAAACCGCTATCGATCTGAACATTTTCACGCGTAATGTCCTATCAAAAAAAGACCAATTAAGAGCACTAAGAAACTTGAGCAGAACGCACTAAGTTTGGTGAAATAATTAAATTACATACGGAGTTTAGAAATAACCCTAATAGCGGGGGAGTTCCTTGCGTTCCAACGGAAGGACAGAAAGACACTATATATATAGCTATGTATATAGACTCGTAGCGTCATACCGGCCTCAAAATCTTCAGCTACAAGCAGCCCTCCTACACTCAGACGAAAAAAATTCTCAAATATTATATAGAATTTAAGAAATCCTTCCTTAAAAACTAATGAGTTTTTTTTAAATAGATGTTTTTTGCTTTTCCAAATGTTTACTGAATTGTGTCTTGAAATCAGAACATATTTTCAGCAAGATGTATTTTCTTTAAATTAATTAGGATTTTCTACAGGTATTCTGAAAAGTATTCTTTCTTAAATGGATGAGAAAATATTTTGATCAATAGAAATACAATGATCTAGTTCTAGATTTTAAATCTGATCCAGCTGTGATATGGCTGTTCTACTATGGAGTTGTGGAAGCCTTTCCCTTTCTAGAACATGAACATCTGGCAGATTGCTAAGTACTTGTATATTCAGTTTCGATTTCAAAATACTTAAGATTATTTTCTAAAAGAGCGTTCGAATGCTGGGGAATTTGAAAAGATGTATGGAAGTACTTGTAATAAAAGATATAGCGATTGTAATACGGGAATAAACGCAGGTACTCCACAGCCTTTGTTCATCTAGTAATTAGAAATATGAAAACCACCCACCAGCCTATCTACTTGTAATACAAATGATTAGAAGTTGCGAGTAATGGAGTCACACTTCTTTAATAAATATATCAAGTGTTATATAAAAACGTTTTGATGGGTAAAAAATGCTCTAAATAAAACTATAATGTGGACAATAACCGTGATTGGAGGCTGGATTGTGCTACGAGAAGAGGCGCAAGGACTCCACGGCATTATCCCTGATGGCGTTCTCGAATACGCCTTTGATGCATTTGACTAGCAATAGAGTGCCGAATGGTAGCATCAGGGATACAAGCATGTTCATTTCCAAAATTAGGCGGCCGGACATTACCTCGATGATCCACAGAGTGAACTCGAAGCTCAGCATGAAAACATTCAACGATATCCAGGGTACCATATGTATTGGCGAAGTCTAAGAGAATCTCCCGATATTACAGCCGATAATGTTACGTAAGAGGACACCCCATTTATTACTTACACGCATCAGCCCATAGAAAAGCATTATCCAAGCATTAATCATGATGAAGGAGCCGACGAGACGCCCCTTTCGCAACACGTCGTAACTGAGAACATAAAACTTGCGCTCCCTCCACATGCTGATACGATAATTGGGGCAGCAGTAGATGCGCACGAACTCCACCAAACTGGAGATCTGGGGGCCAACATCCTAGTTAGATTCCGGCTGGAAATGAACAGCCTTCGGCGATACTTACGGCCCCTAACAGGCTTAGGGAGAGGACCAGCCAATATATGATGGGGAACCATTCGGATCGGCATAGGCCACAGCTAAATAACAAGTCCTTGAGTGTGTTCCAACGACTCATGGGACAGAAGTTCCAGATCGAGTACATATTACATTCGCTACCGCCGAGCACAAAGGACTTGCGCACCAGGCGGCAAAATCGGTTATTGAATGGCGTAATTTTGAACATTTTGTCGCTTAAAATTATGTATTAACGAAAATATTTTGTAAAATTTTTGCTTAATTTACACGTAAATTTTGTTCACAATGCACAAACTGTTCTGTTGCTGGCGAGACAACTGATGACCAGATAACTAGATTGCTCCAATATTTCTCTACAAAGGTATTTCAAATAAATATATATTTGACATTTATAGTTGCGAAAAAGTGGAGCTTTGCTCTAGACAGGAGCAGCGCTTTATCTTTAGCTGTTTGTTCGTCTGTTCCTCTGTGCGACTGTATGAGCCTCGATATTTGCTCAGCCATGGCAGCAAGGGATGCCAAACTTGGCATGTAGCCGTCTCTTAATCATGCACTCATCTAGTGTATTACAAATTTGATATGTGTATGTCTATTATTTTCTATAGATACCATGGATATTTTCGTTTCGAAGGTTAATCCAAGTGCGAAAAACTGGTTTGAGATTTTGTGGCTGATTGTGATAAGTTGGTACTTGTTTGCACAAAATAATTTTTCTTCTTAAAGCCTTACACCCATGATACCCTATTATCAGGGGCTTTTCACTGTAATTTTAACCAATTTGTTGGTCAAATTAAAAAAACACATTAATTTTTCAACTCGTCATGCGCACAATATTTCAAAATAAGATTCTAATGATTGATTTGAAGATGAGGACTTTATAATGAACATAAACCGCTAAGTAGATGTCGCCTATAAGACACAGAGGTGTTTGCTTTTAAGTTTTCTCAAAAGCTTTTGACTCTTGAGGATTCTATAAGGAACATGAACAGATAAAGAGTCAGACGTGAAGTGCCTTCCGAAGAATAGGTGGATAAGTAGATGTCCTCAATATGACACATTGTTGACAACTGTTTCATCTATTTTCATTGTTTTTCAAATGAAATTTTAGTCCATATGTGGGTCAAATTTTTCAAAATAACACGCACAAAAACCTTTCAAAATGTTGTCTCAGTGATCAGCATTTGAGGATTCTGTGAAACACATAAACATGAGAGAAGGTGGATAGCTACCTGTCCCCAATATGACGTATTGTTGACATCTTTAAAACTACCCCCTTTCTGGGCCAAATTTGCCAAAGCCATCCTTTATTGGTAATGTAACGCGGCTTCCAAGTTCTTTCAGGTGCAAGCAGTCTCTTCTATGCATCAGAAGTATGTATGAGTGTATATTGATGAATATACTTGTATGTATGTCACCAATATGACACAGATTGGGTTGCGGTTTTTATTATATACTATGTAGGTATATGCATATATCTATGCAGATGAACAATTCTGCAAAACGCGCGTGTCTTCGCCAACAACAGCAACTATTCGTGTACAATAAATACCCGACTGTGTTTGTTGCCAAAAAAATAATATATGTATATACATACTTGTATATAAAAGAAACGACGACGGGGGAACAAAATACCACTCAGGAGTATGTCAAGCGACCGGTTGCAGCATTTCATTTTCTTCGGACAGCCCGAAATAGATTTGACCCATTTTCTGAAAGCTGCGGCCAGCTATCCGGCAAAGCCATTTATTTTGATTTAGTTTGCTTACCTCTTGCCTTCCGTATCGCCTCACCTTCCCGAAATGTTGCGGCATTTACGATTTTTGCGCTTTTTTACGCACGCCGATTAGTGGATATACTAAAATAAATAGGTCTGTTTCGCACACACACACACACACACATATATACATATATATAAATAAACACACACGTAGTGTATATTGATAAACGAATGTGTGTTTAATTGTCTGTGTGTGCGATTGTTCATAAAAATAATCATTTCGTTGCGTCGTTGGCAGTAAATTCGTTTCTACATAAATACATACAGACATACAGACATACGGACATACAGACATACAGACAGACATACGGACATGGCACACATACATACATAAATGAGTATAGCCCGAGCCGAAAAGGATGAATCGCGCCGAAAACGCCTTACAAGCATGTCTGTTTGTATACCTGCTCGTATGTCCCTCTGTCTGTCTGTAAAGGTAAGACTGTGGACGCCGCCGCAGGTATACCAAGCAATACATATACTATACATATATGTATATATATACATATGTACATATATATTTGTCTGCTTGTAGGTATTTTCGCGTATACCCTTCACTATCTTTCACAAGAAATGTTTAATCACTGAAAAGGTTTCTCGTACGTTTTGTTTTTTATTCGCGTTTTTAATTTTCAACGGCTCTCTGGCTATGGTTATAGCAACTTCTTCTTCTTCGTTAATGCGAAATATGGATCCGATATCTTCTTCATATAAAAAAGAAATGAGTAGAATGCTAAAATTGCGCCAGCCCAGCGCGACTCTTGTACACCCTATTATTATACCCCCAGTCCTACAACTGAAATAAACAATATTGTAGGAATCGGTTCTATGGCAGCTATATATAAGTACGAGTACAGCATATAGTCAACCGATTTTATTGGAAGATGCTGACGCATTCTAGAACACTTACAATTACCAGCTTTGTTGACAATATCTTTATAGGCAGCAGGGATTTTGAGACTAGGAGTTATTAGATACTCCAAACTTTAGAATAATACTTGTACATTGCAGGGCTCAAGATATCTATAGAAACAATAAAGCTCAAGTTCTGCACAGATCGGTCCTACGGCAGCTATATAAATAATGGGGCTTAATATATGATGTGTTAGGAAAATCTACATGCTAAGTTAGTGGTCCCTAGCCATTAATGTTAAAAAGTTCTCGATGTTCATACAAACGGACAATTCTTCAAACGCACCGATCGTTCCTATGGCAGCTATATAACTGAGGCTAATGACAATATACGTGTATGTGGTTTGAAATAAATTTGTTCTGCGTATGGATATGTCAAGTCTACATTTCTAGTTTGGTGTTACTAGCTGTGATGGTTCATACAGTCGAACCGGGGGATGAACGTGCAGGTGGACATAAAATCTCGATCGATTTGTCTCGACCTGCTCCATCAGCTTGAAGATACTCTTCCTAAACGGCATACAAGTATTGCAATGCTTTCTCATGGTTTGCATTTTTGTTGTTGGGACTTTATTTTGTTTTGAAAATAAATGTGCGAGTTCATCGTTTTTTAACGCCGGAAGAGGCGGCTGAAGAGTTCATAAAATTCAGAATTGTAAAGGTCTTTTTTCGGGTTACAAGCACATTTTACTGAAATATAACGCCTGTTTATTGTAATTAAATGCTTTTGAAAATATCCGAATGATGTAATTAGTTGCAAGAACTCTGAGATATGCGTTTTATAATTGAATTAATTTTTGCTGATTTAAATTATGTGGATTGATGAAATAACGTATTAATTCCGCGAAATAGCATTCGAAGTATTTTTTTAAATACCATCCCAACTAGCCATGGTGGAAGTAACTTTAGAAGTCCATTTGTCCATATAAAATAACTATATCTCGAATAGCATGTAAAAAAGGTAAAAAGTTATTTCACACTTGAAAAACTCTTAAAGATGTTTGGCAGAATCTAGGGGCGAACAAATATTAGAAAACTTATATTTCTTGTTAAGAGAATTAGGATTGCTTCTTCTTCTTCTTGAAACAAAAAATTTGACTTTTCCTTATGCTTTATGTGATGGCGAAAAGTATCTTAAAAAATGATTAAACGAATAATATGACGACCAAATGCAATGTGTTGGTTAAGCAAATTAATCCTCAATACCTTTAAATTATTTACAAAGCAAATTATATAAAACTTTATGAAAAAAGGAAGGGCAGGACCTATTTGTCCATAGGGATGTTTGAGTCACGCTATATATTCAGAGACCCGTTTATTTACCAATGATTTGAAAGCCAAGCGCGCGAAGAAAAGAATTTTACAAATTGAAAGAAATTACAAAAATTGTTATAAACGGTAACCCTACTTGTAAGCTAACCCCATATTTTGGAGTTATACTATACTTGTATTTAAATTGAACAACAAAGAAATGTTGTGAAAAATTACAACAATGTGTTGTCATTCGAAATTTGCATGTTTGAACAAAAACTGAGCGAATAAAGAAGGCAGAGGGTATAATTAGATTTGGGTGTGCGATGAGCGCTACGTTCAGATCTGTTTTCTTCCACGCACACACGCGCCAGATGCGACCATGAAAAAGATATTTAAATATTCGTATTAAGCCGTAAATAATTAATTAAATAACGCGCAGACACTAGCGGAATATTCTCAAATAAAATCAATGTGACATTTTTATGGACAGGCGGACAGGCAGGCGGACAGACAGACAGACAGACATACATACAAGTAGTGAGTATATCTTTGCACGTATGTGCGAATGATTGTATTAATGTATTTATTTAAAACGAGAAAAACCGCTCTTTTGTGCGCGCTGAAGCCTCAAACATTTCGATTATTCGGATTATTACGCATAAATGCAAGATATCGACATAATCGGACACATGATATACATACATACATAGTTGGCCGACATCGGCAATTCAAATGCAACAAGAAAGGAATGCTAAAGTCGAGCAGGCTCAACTCTTAAATACCCTGTACCACCCCACAAAAAAGTAATTAAATTAATTTAATTAAATTAATTAATTAATTTAATTAAATTAATTAATTTAATTAATTAATTAAATTAATTAACTAAATTAATTTAATTAATTAACTAAAGTAATTTAATTAATTAACTAAATATTCCATGCATGCATAGATACATTTACATTTACATCAGAATCGTGCCTTATGCGTGTTTGTGTACTTGTACATATGTATGTATGTGTGCATTGGGCCTGGTTATATGGCTATAACTTTCTTTCCGATCATTCTATCATAATGAAACTTGGTATACGGATATACAATTACTAACTGGATGTGTCTACCAAATTTTAGTTCAAAATTCCAAGAATTACGGGAGTTATAGAAAATCGTTAATAGGGGGGGAGTGGGGGGGTGGATCAGAAAAAATGAACAAACTCGTCCTTTCTCGGTCTCAGGAGAATCTGTATACCAAGTTTGGTTATTCTAGCTCTTATACTTTCGGAGATCCTTGCGTTCATACAGACAGACAGACAGACAGACAGACGG